CAATATTTTCATTTTTTGCTAGTGTTTTTCTTTCTCTAAAATCGATATGGAAACACTCCACTCACTCCTTTCCTTTGCGATCTATAAAGAAGAAGAATAAGTGAGTGCCGCCGATTAAGTGAACTCTGATCACTATTAAAACCGTTTGTGGGAAGATAATGGAGACTTCAAGAGGGGTGTAACACATCAACGGAAAAAGATGGCTTTAATATGCGGGGTCTTCATTGTCTTAACGGGAGCATCTGGGTAGCATGACCAATTCCTGAAAGAATTCTCAGAACTTAAGACCAATTGTTGCCAGATGCAGACCAAATCTATATGCATAGAACTCAATGCTCTGACCATGAAAAATGCTTATTATTGACATTTAATTGGTTGATTGCATTTAACTTTTATTCATGTCTGATTTGAAAGTTTTCGGATCCGTGACTCCTTAAGCAAAACACAAAAGCAATTAGAAATATGCAATCTTCAAATAAGACTCAATTTACATAAAAATAAATAATTTTGGAAAAATTAGATCTGCATTTTGGAGTAATATTACACTGCAACCATCAGAATGACGCATTGCAAATTAAAATAACATTGAAAAATTTTGACGCGAGTGGAAGCTGGAGCACTAAATTGCCTTTTATACGACCGCAGACTGCATCGGAAAACCTCGGCTCTCCTGTGAAACTTTTTTACCGTCTGTACTTAAAACACTTGGTAAATTAAAGCTTGAAAGGCAGCGCTTTTAGTAACGGGATGACTCAAATTAATAACTAAATATGCAAGTCGTATCAACTCGTCGGAAACGAACAGCTAACAGACAAGTATGCCGACTTGAAACGGCAGCATATCGAAGATGAAATTGAAGAAATGAATTGAGGATTTTTGCCTCAAATACGCACACAACTTCAATTAATGCAATTAACAGACACAAAACGTAAATATGTACGTACATTTACAACTTTTGTCAATATTATGAGACATCTAGTAAAAAATTCTTAACTTGAAAATAATAAATAGAATTTAGTAATAATTAAAAATTTGAAAACGTGTTGTCCAAAAATTTAGTTCCATAAAACTGACAAGTTAATTTCTTTCAAATACTTTCAAAAAAATTATCAATTTTAATGTAACTTCAGGCATCTTTAAAAAATATTACATGACTATTTACAGCCAGCCTTATGAGAGCTCAACTTTGAGAAATCAGAGATACGATCAAAGCCGTACTTTTAATTAAAAAACAAATAAAGACATATTTGACAACCCTTCAAACACTGTTGTGCCAGAGACAGCACTCAAATCCCCCACTAGCAAAGCAGTTGATTGCCCAAGAAGATGAATAGGAAGAGGATCCTCGAAGATCAAACGTCTCCACACTTTCCTTCTGACAGAACTCAAAATAAACTGCACATTATGGCAATTAAATTCAATATTATTATTTATTTTTTATTTGTAGAGTTAATTGTAAAAATATCTCACTTTGTTTATCTCTCATTGAGGTCGGTAGAAAGCATCATACAGTAGCAATTATTTTTTAATTACGTGTGGTTTGCAAGTCCCTGTATGTCTCCTAAGCTGGGTTCTTCCTGTAATATTTAACAGCACACACACGTAATGCCACAAGTCAAAATTTGAATTTTTCTAATTGAATGAATTCTTCTAATATGTTTAAGCAATTCTAAAAATAATATGTAACAATATAATAACTAGGAGGTATATCGTAATGATATTTAGTTGTATTTCAAAAAATAAAAATTAAGAACAAGAACTATGTTGGTAAGATAAGGTATTTTAGGACCCTACTAGAATGTTTGCAGATGACTGAGGGATTGAAAGATAGCTGTGATAGTGTTATCAACTTGCAGCATATTTTGCATCATAGATAGCACAAATTTTTAAGTGTGAAACTTCAATCAAAATTTGCTAGCACTAAAAGTTAGAATGTAAAACTATGAATTTGAACCACACTGACAAACCAGATTCACCAGAATTGATTTTCTCAACCCATTACATTGAAAAAATAATTCCTTAAAATAAATGAAGTTATAATTATAAAAGAAATTAAACTGATAGTTTCAAACAAACAAACAAACAAACAAACACTCACACAAATTATCTTAACAGTTCTTCATTGTTTTCAAAACAATATTTTAGTCTCTTGCAATGAACTATACTTATTTTTTCTTTTTGATGCAATAAAATAATATGAAATTACACATAATAATTGTCAATTTAAATTTCACTTTTAATTTTTTTAAACTTACATTTCTTTACATAAATTAACAAACAGTTAATAATGCGTGAAGGTTTCATGTAATAGAGAGTATACTTTGCACTCACCAGCTAATTGCTCATGATACACTCTAAGGAGACCCTTCTATGTCTGCAGTCTGAGCTGCACTGACTGGGAAGAGCTGAACTCTGACAAATGAAGGAAAGTTGAACCTGATAAGCTGATAACTACAGGTGAGTGAGCTCTTGGTGGGGTGTTATTGTGGTGGGGGAACTCACAACACATTGTACCACAGAAATATTCACTCTTGATTTTACATGGCCACTAAAAGCTTATGATCTTCAGAAGTGAAATTAATCAATTTCTCACCAAGCACCCATCTGAGTCATGCAGAAAGAAAGAGATAAACAAACAAACCATGTTACAAAGCCTAAAACCAGTATTACATAATTTAACCCAGATCACACAGGAAAGAGGCTTTGCCAGTTAAAAAAAGGTCATACAAGGACACTGTATAACCACAGAATATTATACAATTGTCTGAAACTCTCTTTTCATTTTATTGTCAAATAATTCTATTGAAAGTGCATTAAAAATCATGTTGAAAACAAAACACCAATATTTTGTTTTCCTTTTGTGAATCAAAATTCTTTTTTTAAATTAATCAGAAAGTGGCAATCTAAAAACTTAAATAATATACTTCATTTGTGGTATAACATCATCAAAAATGTGAGTATTATACACATTTCAGTGAAAATCGTACAATGAACAGCTCTGTTATAAAACAAAGTTGAATAATATATGAAGTACATGCAACAGTTGGTTTCGTACTTGATTGAAATTTTTAGTTCGTAATCTTAACCGGAGGATATTTTTTGTAAAACAAACATGAAAAATAAAATAACAAACATAGGAAAAGAGCATGAAGTCTTTGAAATAAAAGTAAGAGATAATTTTCCTCAAAGTGGAAGATCAATATTTTTGTCATAAAACTAATAAATTTCTTACGTGTTCCTTAGAAGTAATGCGGTAAATATTTTTCCCAGGACTGAATGCTGTGCACAACTCACTTCCACAATTTGACCTTTCAGAATCAATATACCAGCCCCCAGTTACCTGCTTCCAGAAATTGATCTTTCAGAATCAATACGAAGTGGTGTGTACTAGTCAGCCATATGACTTTCTAGCCTGCCATCATGGTCAAAATGCATGAAACATCATAGAATTTATTTAACCAGACTTTGTACTTCTTGCATCACAAAATAAAATTCTGTTACTTGTAAAGCTGATATTAATTTAGTTAAGAAATCATCTGTGAAAATATTCAATAGAAATATAATAATAAACAAGATTTCTGCTGACACCACTTAATACATTAACAAAAAATTAATCCAGATTCTTTAAATGGGACAAAGCATTGAACTTTGGCCAAATTATCATTATTATTCTGTGTTGATTAATGATCATCAACAAAATCAAAAATCCAATTATTAAATGTCTGTGGAATTTAGAATACGTGTAAAGAACAAAGGAAGAAAATACTTGAGGAAAAATGTTTACATAAGAAATGATCATGTAAATTACTAAAAAACAAACAACACTATAAATTTATTGTTTTATTTATCTTCAACAAAATGTGATTCTCATACTTCACTAATATTTACATTAAACAAATTAGCTTCTACAACTTGGAAAATTCTCACTCTCAGTTTTAGCTGTATACTCTATTCGCGAAGTATACTGTTCTGTATTTTTTATACCTGTGAATACCTAATATAACAACACTAATGATGATCATTTTAAAGAAACTTTACATAAATTTTGAAAGGCATAATATAAGTAGTTTCAAAAAAGGAACAACAAGAATACAATTGGCAACATTTTACATCATAATACTCTCTAAGGGTTTGTTAGGAACTGCAACGTGGACTCCAATAATTTGGACAACCTCTTACGTACAAAGAACTCAATTTCTGACTATTCTCTATCGCAGGCAACTGTACTTATATCTTCATATGATGATAGATTGAATGTAAATATCAATAATATACACTGAAATGTAGGTCTATAGAAAACATTAATTTGGCTAGTAATTAAGTTATGAAAGAATATTTTTCAAAACTGAAATGCAGCACTTCTAAATTACTGATTTGTGCCTGTTTCAACATCTCATATTTCTACCAAAATAGCATGCAAAGGAAGACAATATAATAAGTAATGTATATGTAAATAACAAGGATTGTCGAGATGATGAAATGGGTAGCCCAACACTTCTAAATATTAACTTAGCTTATTCCATAATGTACTGAGATTTTCTTTCATCTTAAAAAGTCCCCTATATTCAGTGAGGGATACAACCAGTCAGTAATTTGCTGTGAATATACTCCACATGTTATTGCCATAAACTGAGCAAAAATCTACACTGGTTCTCCAGGAATTTTTGAGTCCATAATAATGTTGACAGAAATACTATAATATAGATTCCAGGTTGCAGTTTTGATTTTTCCATTATTATTATTTTTTTTTTTGTTCTGGAGACTCACTATGTTTCTTTTCAATGCAGCTTGTTTGCTTTCTTAAAATAACTAGCACCATATTTTGGAACACGAATACCTAAGCCCACTAGGTATATAATACTTTTACTCACTAGCACACAGTTTAATAAAGAAAAATGCACTATGTATGATGGACAATTTTTAGGCCATACAAGGTACTTCCAGATAAAATTATTGAAATAGTATTTAATTATAAAAGATTTTGCTTAGTTAACCTTTCTGTAAATTTCTTATTTTATGAATATAACAGATTGCACAGAAATTTGAAGAAAGAAATAATTCTCAAAAAAAGCTTATCTCTCCTGTTAAAACAGTTTCACAAAAAGCACAAAGTATCTTACACCGATCAGTTTTGTACACTCACAGGGCACACGTGAACTGTCCTAAGGTAAACTTCCCAAGTATACATAAATACACAACACAAACACATTTTCAACTTTCTCTTTGAATGTTATGGAAAATTAGTGATAACGGCTGATGCCTTGTGCACTCTTCATAAACTAATGTAAATGACTGCAACAAAACAAAGCAACATGAAAAAATATAATAAATGCTAAATGTTTGTATAAAACTATTGCAGAGTATTCCTGTAATTTACAGATAAGTATTTTACAATGAATTTTTCACAGATGCATTGGTGAAGCATATTGTAAGTATAGACAATATTAAAATAAACCCTTTTGAACAACACATTTTTAGTTAAAGTTTGAAAATATGGAAGAGGGGAAAAAAGGACTATTTTCTATGTGTGTTCATAAAGAAACCCAAAGAATATGAGAATTTAAAACAAGAAAACAATGTGCCTGACTCTATGAGTGGCTTGATCACTCCATACCTAATGAATGTTGTATGGAACTTCAAATTCTTCCAATGCAGCTTTTCACAGATCATCTTACATTTTTCAAACAACAGATCTAAGTAGTTATCTCTTTTCTTTCCAAAGCTAGTTAGTTGTTTTTACAGGCTATTCCATCACAGTCAATCTCAACACAGTTGAGCATAAAAATTACTACTATTAACTACTGTTGGTGAACTGTGCATGACTAATAATTACATATCAGATATCTTTTACAGTTGCAATTACAATATTTGCAGCAACAACAGAATTCATGAAATGTAAACTATATTGGATGTACACAATTATTTGACATTTATATGAAGTAACTTGATGGAATTTAACCATGTGGAATGTAAATATCTCATGTGTGCTGAAAAAAATGTAATGTTATCAATAAATCTGTTCACATTTAAATTAATCTGACACTACATGAATAACAAAACTGCCGCAATGACATCTGTACAAGTAAGATGATAATTGACACATTGATTTCACAAAATATTTACATTTGCTTAAGTGTGTGCTCCAGAATCCATGAATGATAGCACAATAAAATAATTAAAAAAATAGGCTTAAAAACAATGAATATCAGTCCTCTATAAATATCAAAATAAGGCATCTACAAGATAAGCTTCTGTGAATTCATGTGACTACTGTTTCTGATAATGTAACTCAAAAATGTTGAAATTATTATGATAATGGAATAAAACAGAAGAGTAGTTAACAATGTTAATGAATATGTAAATGGACTATTCAGAATAGAATATGATTATTGACTCATGTCAAAAACACTTCTGCAGGAAGCTTTGAAACAATGAATTTTTTCTTGTCAGTAGTTAATTATAAGATATACAGAATTATAATAAGAATTAAACACTTCCATACAAGTGAAATTTGAGTCTAACTATAACAAGTCTATGTCCTGTGCTAACATTCAATAGTAAAGGTAACGAGGACATGAAAACATTGTTCAGATTAAAATCAACTCAGAGTATCACAAGTGATTACAAAATATTTTAGATTCACTTATATCTTTCTATGAAAGAAAATTCATACCTTATAAAGGCATTCTAATTTTCCAATTTATTCTACACTAGGAATGCTGTTGTGAAAAGAAACATTTTTCAATAACTGTATATAATTTACTGCAACTATTTGCACTTATTTGTCTTAATGCTACATTACGTTAATGATCCTCATAGTTGGTAGTCCGTGTTGTATAGTAGGTACAATGCAGCTGAAGAAAGCCATGTACCCACCAAAGAATCTAGTTCCATCTGCTTTTATAATTGAGGTTGTGCATATGTCATTTAGATGTTATAAATGGTACAGTACATAGTAAGAAGTACTCAATAAGAAATCAAAAATACTAAAAGAAAGAATTGACCTTTGTTCTTCATTAAGAAGCAAGTTTTACAACAAATTTCTACAGTAATATTTATCACATTATGTAGCAACTAAATATGTGCATCAATCTAATATCTCAATTTACTACTCAAGGCAGAGAGTGTTGTGATTGTTACCACAGAGGCAATGTTTTGACATTCAGGCAATAAGAATGACATTATTTCCTGTACTATAATAAATATGACATAGGCACAGAGATTTAAAAAGCATGTAATTACTTTGCATCATTACATAGCATATACTAAATAATATTCTCTTTTAATAATACAACAGAAAATATCACCTTTGCTTTTCTTTTTACAACAGGTCATACCTAGGTTGATGTTGTTCAGTACAACAACGTCAAACTCATGATTGTTCATTTGAAACCATTGCAATATTCACATAAGTGATTAGAGCCAAATATTGTGATGTGAAATATTATCAATTATTAATATTTATTTCTTTCAAACATATATATGAAAATAAATATGTGAAAACTTATAAACAAAAAAAAATTTTGAAGGTCTTGTAATATAAGTACCTCATTGCAATTTCTTAATATTTACAGAAGTTCTCTGGTTCATCATGCAATCATAAGTTTGATAAAAGTTTCAAAAATCTATAATAATAGTATACACAATTATTCATTTACAATTAAAATCAGCATTCTTAGAAACTACAGCAATCTCGTAAGCAAACAAGATTGATTTAACAGCTTGTAACGGAAACGCGTTCCTATGTCTCATGACTGATATTCAGTAGGTCCAGTTGATTTATCCAGATGGCAGCAAATTGTCTTCACAATTATAACTTCAACATTGTAAATAAATATCAGTATTTTAATGCATCACACATCTTTTGTATGATTCATAATTCGTTTCTCTATTTCCACATTTATATTTCTCTCTGGATGCACAATGTGCAAAAAAATAAAAACTCTTTTGCCATGTGCTCTATTATATCAATCTTATCACTTGGCCCTAAAATGCTACAAAATAGTTCTATGAATCCATCACTTCCATGGCAAATCGCTGCTTTCTCCTTTGATTTGCTGATGGAATATTAGGTGGTTCATCATCATCATCGTCATCATTGTAATCAGAACCATCTTGAGGAAGGTCATGATATTCATCAAACTGAAAGAAAATAAAAACAAATGTATTATTGATACATAGAGTTTTCATTAATATTTGCATGTGCCAGAATTTAATTGCTGATAATACCATTTCAATTTGCAGTAACATTAAAATAGTTATATATAGCATAATACAATGTACTTTGTTTGTCCATGCATGTTTCTCCAAATAGTTTGTGACAACACTTCCTTCCAAAACTTAGCAGTGTATTTTTTAAAGTCAAATATTGGGAACTTTTCCCATACATGAAATAATGCAAAAAGGTTGCCTTCATAAATAAACACTTCAACTATTTGTTATTGATAAACACTTGTCAGAAAACTATTTGTAAATTGGAGTTAGTAAACGTTGTGAAAAAGCATTGATCATGCAACAATAAATCTTTTATGATCAGTATCTTTTTAATATGTCGCATAATATTTTAAGAACAATCACTAAAGGGTAATATTTAAATTAATGTGGCTTCAATCACATCATAAATCGTACTCATTGGGTTGCATTTTGAGTCTAAGTTCTAGCATTTAAATAACCATGCATTAGCATTCAGGAAAGATTTAATTTACTTTATGATATGCTATCACTAATGCATATCTAGTCACATCATTATTAATTGAATAGCAAATGAATTAAATAATTGAAAAAAATGAATTAAAACATTTTTACTATTTCTTCAGTAATTCTGGCATTGCATTCTCATTCTGACATTTAAGTAATGATCAGAACTGATAATATTCAGATCTACCAACTTTTAAGAAATGATCAGAACTGATACTAATCAGAACTACAATCAGTAATAATTTATTAAATCAATCCTCTTTTCTCAATAGTATATTTTTTCAAAGGAATGTTCAAAGAAATTTGCCTATGTCAATGAATATAACTATTTTTTTGAAAATCCCTGAAAAATAAACTAGGTATGTCTCCCTTCAAATGTAGGACAGTTCATGTAATGTTTGCATCATTGAGAATTAATATAGGTTAATTTAGTGAGTTAGACCTTTCAACATAGAGCCTTGGTTGAGTGCAGTAGCATTTCTAAGTAGATGAAAGGAAAGGATTTTGTGCCTTACTGCTACAGGAGGTAGTGTGTTGAGTATGCCATTACAGCAATCCTCCAAAACCACACAGCATCCTGACACAGAGGAGAAAATCCCTTCATGTGCAATTATAGAACACACATAGAAGTGAAAGGATATCCCTTACATAAAGAGCATCCAACATTGAGGAGTTGAGAGAGACAAATTTTGGATTTATAAAGCCTCTTATCTTTTCAGTAGAATTACTTCTAAATATAACATCTCAAAGTATTTTTTTTTTTTAATTTGACTTAAGTTAACTTAAATACAACATTGATTTTAAAATCAGTGCTAAAACCACACCTTTAGACATCAAATATCATGAAGTTTTTGTCTCTAAACACACATTTTCCAGGCAAAGAACAAAACAATTAACTTTCTAGGAGAAAATATTCTATTAAAATGGGAAAGTAATTTCAATATTTACTATTATATATTGTACTAATCTCTGACACACATAAGCATGCATGTCTTTATTGTCATGAACAAAATGTAGGAGTGCAATCTGTACATTAGTGTCATGATGTACAAAACTGTTTAAGTGCAAAAATCATGAAAAACACTCCAAAGAAGGAAGTGTGAGATAAATACTATCCTTGGTACTTTATAAGCAAACTTTATTTGGTTATTAACTGAGAAACACTATAATCTTAACAATTAATTTAAAATTTAACTTTATATTTGTGTAGAAGTAAACTACACACAAACATTACTTACATTCACTATGTGCGTGCTCATTTTGAATGACATGCAATGTATGCATAATAAAGTAAGGATAAAGTCGTTTGTAAAATAATAATCTTCAAAAATTGAGAAACTTTTCATAATGGTAGTTATTCTTCAAACAACTAAAACTATTCATGCATTCATGCAAATAAAATAGTAGACTATCTTTATAGAAATATATTAGTAATTCTCATTCAGATCAACAAATTGTATTATTCAATTATTAATAAAAAGTCCTAATAAACTTATGCCTTGAGAAATGAGAGTTATCTTGAAATGAACATCCTTCAAATAGTTTTTACAAATATCTATTACAAAGATATATAAAATTATGATGCTTCTTTATTTGTTAATTTTTTAATACATATTTTGCTTTTCATTGTTTGACTTTATTATTAAAATTCTAATAGACCAGGAGCCACTTTGAATTCCACAACATAATGTTTGCTTCACAATGATTTCCATTGCCTTCACCCTAAAATATCTCACAAGAAAATTATTTTCACATTGTTCATAAGCTGTAATTAAAAATTACTATGTTGATAATTAAACTATTACTTCATAAATCACTTTTATAATTGTTAAAGTCTCATAAATATTGTCAATTCTTTATTTTCTCAAAAATATTTTTAAAAATTTCAATTCTTCATTCAACAAAATATATTTTCAGTAGAACAAGCAATGCTTGTTATGTCATCTCTACCTTGAGAGAAAGGCAATGATAGGATGATGTACACGCATTACTAATCTCTATCTTCTCTGAGGAGTAATCTTAGCTTGTATGTGTAAGTATGAAGATCCTTTAATCTTTTAACAAAACAAGCAGGAATTAAACATACCTGATTTCATAATCATGTATTAGGGTAATACCAATAGGGGCCACTTTAAGTACAAAGTGTGAAAAATAAGAAATGGACTCAAGTTCAAATTTGCAGAACATGGCGCTGATATCTTCTAGTAGTGAGGATTAGAATGTTGATAATTTATTTAATTACGCATATTATATATTTAAAGAATAAGCTGAAAACATCTTATTACTATTGGCACTGCAGTGCTGCAGTAATGTAACATGAACTGAGACTTCTTTGATCTTAAACATTTTTAGGGAATAGAATATTGATTGGCCATTACTGACTACTGCCTGACCATTTACAAATTTACAAATTACAAGTGGCCACTAGTGGAACAAAATTGTGGTTTCGAAATAAATTGTTAAAAAAATTTAAAAATAAAAAATAGTCTAGTTTAAAGCAAGGGATCTATTTAGAAAGAGGTGTAGCGATCACCAGTTGGGTTTCACATAATGAATTTAGTTCAGTTTGAGAAAAGTACAAAAACATTCTTAATATGCCCACGATTGGTGCTTTTACAATACTTTTGTTTTCTCTCAACACCAAAGTAAGTTGTAAATCAAAATATTTAAATTGTCTTTCAGTTTCTATAATTCTGGTTTAAATCTAGATATTATGACTTGACGACTTTGGTCAAAACGGGACTCACAATTTCTTTTATATTTTTTTTTATTTGAGCGGAACCAAAAACAATAAAACAGCCAGTTTCAAAATATAATAGACGGGCACACAAACCTTATAAAAGTGAAAATATATGTAAATATCAAGCTGATAGTAAAATTTGTTAAAGCAGTAAAAGTCTCCCTTTTAGTGCAATGGGAGGCAAAGCTTTTGAGAAATGGTTTTCTAATTCATGAAATGCTTGAATTAAAATGAAGATTTAACTTCTTTACTGAAAACAATTGGTTTCCGGAGGACAAGAAAACTTGAAGCACAAATTTGAAGATGCCGTTAAGAAAAATTCAAGAACATGTTATAAAATAATAAAAAGCATTCTCCAAAATTAAAAGTTTCCACTCAAATGCTCAAAGCCTTGCTTTCAAGCAGATCAAAGCCACAATATGAAGTTAGGGAAAGTCCAATATATAGTACAGGAGTTACAAATGTTTATCGACAGAGAGACATGTTTTGGGAATACTTTTTGTTTTGTTTTTTATTGGTAATCAAGAACTTACAACTTTATAGCCACCAAAAATGTGAGGCTGAATTTTCACATAACTATGACTTTTCCTATTGAATTATTAAATATAAAATGCAGCAGTCGGCATGCGGACCAGGCGCAGAAAGTGATCGTACACTTGAAGTAACGAAGCAAAACGAAGTAGCCAATAATGGATTTGCCAACCTTCTGTGATTCATATACCTCGGTGTAGCACTCACATTATAAGGAGCATAGCATAGTATATCCTCAGTAGGAAGTGGTCAGGACATCGTGGATGATGAAAATAGGCTGCAATCGCACAGAAACTAGTGACGCCACAAGAAAAGAAATTATAAAATTGAACTTTAAGTACGAATGTACACAAGAGATATCTAAACTTGCAAATTTATCTTGTTCAACATAGCAGTCAATAACTGAAAGGTTTTGTATTCATAAAATAATGAGAAATCATCCCTGTACAGGCAGACCAAAAGCTGAGTGATGCAGATAAATGATTTATTACTCAAGAAATAAATGAACACCCAGAAATTAGAGCTGTTAAATGGGTGGATGAATTGAGGAATCATGGTGTTAAAATATCAGCTACTTCAGCAGTGGAAATACACAGCAGTAGGGTATCACAGGCAGATTGCCTGAAAAAATATTGAGGTAAGTCACATTTTAAAGCAAATCCTAAAAGCAATTACATTTTGCAAAAGAGTACTAACATAAAGGATTGAACTTCTGGAATTCAGTCATATTTTCAGACAAAAGCAAATTTGACATATTTGGGTCTGAGTAGTCACATGGTGCAATCACAATGCTGAATTGAACCCATGAGACCATATGCCTTCTACAGTAAAACATGGTGGAGGTTTCGGACTGTCTGTGGGTGTACGAGTGTGTCAAGATTTGGTTTGTCTGAATATTATAGATGGCGAGGTGGATCACAAGATGTATATTACAATCTTAAAGGAAAATATCATTATTAGAGCACTGCTAATGGGCCGTAGAAATAGCTTAGTATTTCAATACAATGATGAGCCAAAGTGTACAGCTTTCAATAATTTATTATAGCTAAAAAAAATTAAAAAACACCTCCTCAAACCCCTGACATGAACCTTATAGAGCATATGTGGTCTGCTCTTTGGACAAAAAGGGAGAAAAAAAATTTCAATTACAGTTTGTCTCTTTAAAAAAATCTTA